AAAAAAAAAAAAGTATAAATAAGTTAATATTAAAAAAAAAAAGATATATAGTATAATAATAATAATCAACTAGTTGCAATATATAAATTAAAAATATTCTTATTCAAAGTTTATTATGAAATAAAATATCATTCTTAAGATTAAACTTGAATATTTTTAATTCTTATAACAAATTAATTAGACTTGATATAATATTTAACTGTAGTATACTATATATCATACTACTCAAATAAATATTTATTTTTATATTCATTTGCTTAATAAATAATAGTTTAATTTAGTTGCAAGTAATATAAATAAATAAATAAAATAAAATTTTGTCATTATTTAAAAGATTAAACATTTTTTATTTAAAATAAAAATCAAAAATTCAAATTAAATAAAAACTTAAAAAATAATAAATAAATAAAATTTGTATATTTTATATTAGATTGTAACATTTAATAAATTATAAAATTGAAAAAACTATACAATAATTTATACAGTATTAATTACAAATCATGTAAAAACTTATTTTTAATAATTGATCTTAACAAGAAATCAAATCCTCTATTAATCATATGACTATCTAATCCCAAAATTTATGTAATGAATGAATTGCATGTCTTTGATTATTAAAATTTATTTATGTACTTGTGTTTATTTACTTTTTATAAAAAAAAATTATATAATAGTTGATTTTCGAAAACTCAAAATGTTGTAATTTTATTAAAACCCAAACCGCTTATATAATGCATCCATAGATAATGATTATTTAAAAAATTAAAGAACATTCTATTTTTTGGTAGGACCTTTACGCACTGAATAACGATAAAACGAGAATCTACCAAATCAAAATTCAGCGTAATATTAATAAAAAGCGACACGTGATCAGACACGAACATTATGGGGATTTTCAGCCAACACCGTAAGACCGTGACCCTCTCACCATACGTTTAATAAACGTTGCTTCACGCATTTTCTGTTAAACAGATGACATATAAGATTCAAATCTCGTACGATTTCATTCAATCTTATAACGCATACCGGCCATTATATAATGTCAGCCCATTCTTATCATATTCCCGTGAACAAAATCGTCTCTCAGACACGAAAGACGGAGCCAGTAACTACTATAGTCTCAACTTCACCTCCAGACGTCGCGGCTAAAACCATAAACCCATTACCAACAACCACAATAGCGCACCTTGAAAATATTTTTGAAGCGGTTAAGAAACAGGTAATTTTAGTTGTATTGGTCGTTATTAGAAGCTTGTGCATGATGCTGAATCTTCAGCAAGCTTGTAGCCTGTTGCACATCCCTCAAAACTTCAACGTATCGAGCAAACTTTTGATATTTGGATTGTAAAACCCTGTTTTCAAAAGTTCGTTCCT